ACGGGAAGATTAGGCACATAAGGGCATCATTTCGCCTGTGTCCGGCCATGACCTGTCGGAAGTGGTTTACATGCATATAAGGATCGGTTTTTCCGTCATAAAGCGTGAACTTTGGCTGGTGGAACCCTGCCGGAAGTGGTGTTGTTTCTATCTCCAGGAAGAAAGGAGTGACGCTAAGCCTCGCTAAGTCTGTGTCTAAAAGGAGAGGCGCAGCCAGGCGGGGTGGAGGCATTCCGACCTCTTCACTGGCGTGAACCCCATAGGATAGCCGTTGGAAAGCCGACACCCTCTGAGCTTCCTGCCGGCGAGCCCGTTCTTTCAAGACTGCCCACAAATCCTCTGAATGAGCAGAATAAGAATACCTTGACGTCATCGCCGGACGTGAGGGCCGGTAGGTACTATCTTGCGCGCTGGACTTTTTTTCGTGCAGGTCGGAATCTCCAACCTTGTAACTTCTGGTGATGGAAATAGACGCAGTGTTCACTGACTCTGACTGCCTGAACGGCGGGGTTGCTCACTGTGGTCTTCCACTCCAGCTACACCCTTCCCTTTAACATGCCGCTTCAGCTCATCCATCTCCGCCGCCATTCGCCGGATGACGGCGTCCTGGTCCCTTAACTTGTGTTCCAGACGTCTGGCATGCGATTCTCTCCGCCGGCGATGACCGTCTGGACTCTGTGAATGACCATAACTTCTTCCGCGCTTATCCCGCGCATCTCTTGAATGTCCTCCTGGAGAAGTCTCCAGGTCCGCCATCGGAGGGACGATGGTGGGATGCCATTCTCTCCGTCTGCCCGACTCTGGGGTAACTCCGTCGACGGCGGACAGTAGAATCTCTTCGTTGTTCGCCATGGACGGTGATCAAACGAGCTTGGAAGACAAGGTTTTGTCTGCAGTCTTTCCACAGACGGCGCCAATTGTGCAGGGAGCAATATTCAGGCAAGCCCGCACTCCTTTCTTCCAAGCTCCGTTTCTGTCCGATCACCTATATGCACAACAGCAGTGAGCTACCCGACGGTGTGTGGCCGAAAAACCCCTCCGACGATCAAGTTAGCACACACCTGAGGATAGAGAGAGTGAGGAGAGAGTTGAGTGTAAGTATTTCTCTTACCAAAAAATGTTCGTCCCCAGCATGGGGGGCGCAGACTTGCTTATATACCTTCTGCGCCCCAAATCTACTCCTAGTGATCTCTTGACACGTGGTTCTGCTATCCCATCTGTTAGCACAAATCTTGCTAAACATCACCTAACCCGACTGCCAGCCCACTGCATTGGGAGCTCGGCAGCCGGGCTGTAGCATCTTGGCTGTCAACGGACATGCTGCGTTTCATGCCCAGGTGCCCCAACAACCGAGCTCCTTTCCAGCCATGCTTAACTGCATTCCGGCGAAGCCAAGCTTGAGATTGGTCATACCGGTCAACCAAAGTCCTTCCTGCCGAGCTTCAGGCATGAGCCTTCACACCGAGCTATGGATGTGTGCTTTACAACCGCGCAACGCATAAACCGTGGAACCCTTACTTGATCGGCCTCTGTGCCGACAAGGTAAAGTAGCCTGGTTCCACATGCCCTTGCCATTGCCGAGCAAAAAATCACTTCTGGGTGGACCCTGGATACCACGGCCCAAATGTGTTCGGCCCACAATTTGCCTGGTATTACGATGGCCCAATCCAGACCATATTTTTCTCTCTCAAACATGATTTTTTAACTTTTTGACTAATTTAGCCTGGGTAAATTAGCTCAGTTTGGAAAAAATTTTGAATTTTTTTTTTTGTTTGGATGTGATAGATGCGAGAGAAAAAATGAAATAATTATGATTTAAATGTGATATTTTATTTTATTGGCTAAATTATCTTATTTTATCTTTTGTGTTTATTTAGTCACTTTAACTCTTACCAAACGAGACTTAAAATAGGCAAATTTCTAAACGGGCCATTATCTTATATAGACGAGCATAACATTCATGCAAATGTCACTAAAAATTAGTGAAAATTGGGTTTCATTTACTTGGGATGACGTTCAAAAAAACGTAACAAAAAATTAGTGAAAATTGGGTTTCATTTACTTGGGATGACGTTTTAAAAAACGTAACAGATTTTGTTGATGTGTACTCTTAAAACATATATTAAGATTAGTTGAAAATATTATATATTTTTTATTAATCATATTTTTGTACAAAATATATAATTTTTTTTAATAGCTCATAACATGTGCAACAAATTCCAAGTTTTAATAACAATAGTGGATTCCCCATTTTAAATAGGCCAATCAAACTTTAAATAAGTCCCATTATGTCTGGTGATTGATTGTGCCTTGTCAATTTAAATAAGTGGACCACTAATTTGGATAGCCCAAATCAAAGAGTCATTATTATCATTATGTTCCATTTACTAATCATTGTTCACTTGCATAATTCAAATATGCAAACACCAAAATACAGAAATTCAACAATGGAGAGAACAACATAAATTGTCTAAATTTAGTGGTACATTTGACCTAAAATGCAAATAAAAATACTTTGTGGAAATCTGATCATTATCATTCTTCTTTCAATTGGTTAGAATCTTTACACATTCTCCTCTAAATTATAGTCTCTGGTGTACCTAAAAATAATAATAATAATTTGCTATTTAAAATTCATGGCTGTTCAATGTCCATGTGCAACAATTTTGGAAGAAAGTAGCAATATTACAAACAAATCCCAACTAAACATTACCATAAAAAGAATAGAGAAAATTGTAAATTAATGGGATAGTCCCAAAGTAACATAGGAAATGTTTGCATCAAATATAGGGGTGTTTTAGGAAATTGATTAAAAGTTAACTTTTTGACTTTTTTTTAAAATTTTTTTGTGGTTTTTTTGGCTAAAAAAGTTAGTTTTTTTGTGACTTTTATGGTTAGAAAAACTAAAAAGTCAAAAAATTGACTTTTTATTATGTACCCAAAATAAAATAAAATAAAATGAAATATTATATATTTCACTGGAAATCAAACTCCTCCAAAAGAATACGAAGAAGAGGAAAGTTAGATATATGTAGGATATATATGTGTGATTCTTGTTTGTCAGCAACTATCTGTCAGGCCATGTGATCACTTGGTGGTGACCAACTTATTTGTGAGCTTCATCTAACTCAAAAAGTTGATCAGACTAATATTTCATTATTTATACAAGTTATGTGTTTCAATCGTGAATTTATGATGAAAAAATGATATAAAAATAAGTTTTTATATATATTAGAGATATTCAACCAAAAATAAATTGGTAATGGATGAAACAGCCTCTCTAGACTATATGAAATACATTTAAGTAGCTTGAAAAATAGGATTAATACAGGACAATCTCATGTGAGATGATAAAGAGATAAATAAAATGTTTGGTATGGAGAGTTAACTCGAGAGAACACTTAAAACTCAATTTTGATATTATGTCATACTTTTTTAAGTATTCAATTCAAGTATTCAGGGAAAGAATTTAGATTTAATGCGTCATCAATTAAATACTATAAAATGATTAATTATTTTGGTCTACTATTTCTTCTTCTCTATAAAAATTATTCAATATTTTTGGAATAATATTCCATTTCATTAATTAATTAACATATTTTACATCGTTTTCTAAAACTCTAATATAAAAGTGAGGAATCCTATAACTTAAATCAATAGCCATTAATTTAAAATACTGCTTAAACTTGCTAAATTTACTCTAAAAACATTGAATAATTTCTTCTTGTCTTGAGCCTTTTGGTCATGCTCCTTGTTCTGTGCCTTTTGGGCATGCTCATACCACAATTATATTTTAAGCCATTTTTTTATTGCACCATTAAAAGGCTAAGACTAGTGGGAATGCAATTAAGGCCACATGTTCTTAAAAGAAGATTTTAATGGAACTTTGGGAGAGGGAATAATTTGTTTAAATAAAAAATAAGTGAATGACTTGCACCAAAATCTTTAAAAGCAAAAGTATTTAGTACTGAAAAATGCAACTGAAGAAAGCATTTTCTTGTTGCTACCACCACCATCCATGCATGCTTTGCCAAAGCAGATCAGAAAAATGTATGTTTTGCAGACAAGATTTGTGAAGATTACATTAAATTAAAAATAACACAACACAACATGCTCAATCACATAACACGACACACTCAATCACAATGTTTAGTCAAAGGCAATATCAAGTATCAAGATTTTCCTTTTTAATTATGTTAGAATTGATAATAAAGTATGATTATTTTGGTAGTTAAAGTTAGCCCACAACTGTTGGAGAAAGATACACCATGTGATTCCATTCTGTTTATAGCACTAAACTGTCTCAATTATTATTCTACTCATAAGTTATTCACTTACCACATGTATTTGGCTAATGTACTTTGCATATGTGTCCACAAAATAAAACACATCAAGAATTCATTTCATTTTTTCTTTTCTTTCTAAAAGTGAAATCATCTTCCGGATGCATAAGAAGAATGTTAGGTGTTGGAGATGCTAGAAACAGAGGTGATTGTGTTGTTGACGCACTTGTGAAAGACAGAAGTAAAGAGAGAAAAAAAATATCAAGAATTAGAGCTCTCAATCTTTGCCGTTTCTTTTATTCCAATAAGTAATACTATAAATTCAGAACTTTTATCTTGAATTTTGCTCAAAAACATCAATCGATGACTCAAATTCATTCCCGTGTTGACCCCGCATTATATCAATTCAATCTATATGACACAAAAACATTACCCAGAAAACTCTGGAATGATATGTCTGTGACCATTGCATTTCTCTGTATTCCAATATTGGCAGCAAGAACACTACAATCAATAACTAAACAACAGAATACAAACAAAAGGTCCAATTTTCCTCTCGCAAACCATTACCTATACATTGAATCAATAACAGAACCATGGCTATTCCAAAAATATTATTGTACAACTATGAAGTACATTTGTTTGTTGGTTTATGTTCTAATTCTAATTAATTAATGTATTGACATAAATATCCTTCAAAGAGGTCTATAACAAATGTACATTGAAGTAACCATTTATTACTTATTTGACAATATGTACAATGGCTTTCCACTAGGGACATTATATATACAATGTATTTCACAAAAAAGAAGAAATACACACTATATTAGAGTTGACACAAATCTTCCTTTTTACATAGTATAATTCTATGCACATGACTGCTCTCTAGTTATACTGAATTGAGTTGTAAGAGGAGTTGGCTCCTCATAAAACTGGATTGCACTTAAGCTCGTCTTACAACTAGATTCTAGTTAACTTGAGAGCAAATAAATCCTAATTCCATGCACACTAGGAATTTTAAATTCCCAATCGACTTCATTTGACTGAAGCCTCTTTGCGCTATCCACATATCATCAGACCAACAGATTATTGGTCCACACACTTATTTGACAAAGTAGATTATTTACAAGACTATTGGCACCATTGTGAATTACTCATCCATATCATCATCGCCATCTGTATAACCTCCAAAGGCATATAACATCAACAGAAATGGATAATACGATACATGACGGAAGATGTGATAGTTTGATGAACCCAAGAAACATAGTGGCACAAAGATTGCTGCAAGTGTGACGACAAAGTTTGAGCCCATCAACAGAACAACATTGCGAAGCCAACTGAGTTTGCTTACTATTAAGTACACACCTGCCATGAATGCTATAGACATCATAGCAAGTGCTATTCCCAGTAGCGGCAATGCCAATTTTAAGGCAGCGTGCATCGTACTGACATCACCCAGTTGTGCCCATATGAGAATGACGACGGCGATAATAGAGCAATACATTGCTATGGTGTCACAGATCACGAATTCCTGGAACTTCGCCTTTGCTAACATGGTTGCTATGCCTTGGTTCGGGTCAGAATTGTTATAGCCACCTGGGATGCTGAAAGCAGCTGCAAAGGTTACAGTTGTGACTAGTGTTGCTACCATTAAAACTACATTAACCTTGTCTTTGTAGTTTTCCTTTTGGGAATGCTCTTCAACCCTAGAACTTATAGTTTTGGAAAGCTTTGCATGTGGAGCCCGCGGAGCCCCGACAACTCTCAAGGCCATCCATGTCAACCTCTGCACAATAGAAGTGACGGTTAAGTTTGTGTTACGATTTCTGGAAACATTGAAAGTAATTACTGACATCTCCTTTTGGATGATATTTCAGTATGAAATTTATTTTTGTGTGCCACTTTTAAATTTAACACTCTAAAACCAACTTCTATAATGCACGAACCTTTTGAAATGAAGCCATTGTTTCCATGTATTCTTCAGCAATGTCAAGTGCTGTTAGCCTGTTGTTATTCTCGAGCTCTAGGTTTACTCTCCCATCCCATGTCAGAGTGCTCACAATCCTTGGATGGCCATTAATGGTGGCGATGTGTAAGGGTGTGTTTCCTTCATCATCTCTTTCATTTATAAGTTTCGCTAGCTCGGGCATTTTGAGCATACAACTAACTGCTTTGGCTTTTCCACTCTTTGCTGCAACATGAAAGATGTTCTGGCCTCGTGAAGTGAGTAGGTCCCTAGAATCAGGGCAGTGATGAAGCATCTCTTGGATTATGTTGGCATGGCCTTTGTTGGATGCTATGTGAATAGGAAAGAGACCGTGCTTGTCCATTTCGTAAGTGGTACCGGAGCATTTGCTTAGCAAGAAATTGACCCCTTCAAGATAACCTATGGATGCAGCACAGTGAAGAGCACTTCTCCTTTCCTCATCAAATCTCAATTGGAAGGAGGATTGATCCTTTTCCCACAGTATTTTTAAGACATCTGAATAATTCAAAGAAAGGTGTTAGAAGGAATGTGTGCAAATTTTTATCCAATTTATTGTAACAGATTAGTTAATATGTTGGTTAACTGTATTCTGAAATGCAAAAAAAAAAAAAAAAAAATTCATTGGCTTATTGAATTATCTATTGAGCCATGAAAAAGGTTCAACAAGAGACAAATAAATCTGCTATCCATTTTTTATCAAGCAATATGTGAGTAACTCCGATATAACAGTAAAAGTAAGAATTATAGGTGGATTGACTCATCAAGTTACCGTTGAAATAGGGTCCGAACATGGAAAAGCATGAGGAATATTTCAATGAAATGGATGAAGTCAAGGATCCAAAGTTTTAAAAGTTAGAATTGTTTCCAATTTTATGATCGATTTCTATGCTTTTAAAATTTTTCAAGTCAGAAACTATATCATGGGAAAATGATAGATATCCTCTTAGCTACTAGGAATGGCTTGCATAAAAATGAAGTCTTTAACTGTAGTTGTTTGAGATTAATTCCATGAATCTTTATTGACTATTATGCCATAACCCAAGGTCGATATGACTCATGTCTTCACTCTCTTTAGACTTTTTTTTTTTTTTGGTTTAATTAGAAAGAAGGATGCTTTGAGATTATCATTGCATCCATGGACCCAGGTCTGGGGATAATCGGTTGCTGGCTTAATTTAACCCAACTCATAGGAAGTGACCTACTACAGAGGCATCAATGGAGCTTAGCTACATGCCCTAGAAGAGGCCACGTGTCAATCGGAGTACAGTGCGAAATCTCTGCAAAGAGTCAGTTGGATAACCCAACATATTCGCATCCCCAAAAGTCGAACCTGACCATGGACCCAGGTTTGGGGATAATCGGTTGCTGGCCTAATTTAACCCAACGCATAGGAAGTGACCTACTACAGAGGCATCAATGGAGCTTAGCTACATGCCCTAGAAGAGGCCACGTGTCAATCGGAGTACAGTGCGAAATCTCTGCAAAGAGTCAGTTGGATAACCCAACATATTCGCATCCCCAAAAGTCGAACCTGACTCATTTATGTGAAATGAGCTACCTTCACTACCAAGCCACCACCCTCGGTGGTCTCTTTAGACTTTGAATAGTAGAATATTATGTGTTGACATCATGGGTGACATAAGTGCTCATTTCTAGAAAGAGCTTAATTGTATTTAATGCCATAAAATTTCCTCTCAAATTTGAAGCAAGGAGTACTTCTCAGAAGCAACATTCCCAACTACTAAATTAATTATTTACTTGACTCTTCTTCATCCTAATCTTGGTTTCCTGTCCAAAGTACACTTAAACCTATGCAAACCATATATAAATCATTTTTAAAACAAAATTCTTGTGTTTGATAGTGACAAGGTGGATTCTTGTTATTTTCTCAAATGAGAGCATCGAGTGTGACATCTATGAAGTGATCTCAGTGCATACGTACATTTTAAGCATGGAATGGGGACAAATGGTAGAAACTTGTGTAGGGAAGTAAAGTATCGGAAATTAGTATGTAGTTATGCGCGTTTGAACTTATGAAATTTTGAATTGCAATAATTTTTTATGAATCCGTACATTAAATTTTCAAGTTTTGACGTGCTATTGAATTTTTGTCTTTCTTGGATTTGCAAGAATTGGCAATTCAAGTTGCATGATGACATTTTAGTACGAATTGAAAATTCTATAACAGCTACTACCCAGTCAATATTGTTTTATTTAGAATTATTCATAATAATAAATGGAAGAAAGATAGAATTTGATGTTGCCATAACTATTCAAATAGCATACTCAACCTTTGTGGACCACAAAAAGTTTATAAATAGTCTACATATTAAATTCTTTGTATTTTCACCAGATTTGTAAAAAGACTGATGGAGCTATGGTGTTGATGTGCTTGTCAATACTACTTTTAATTAGTAAAGAAATTGTTGATGTATTAGCCAATACTACTTTTAACTAGTAAGGAAAGCACTAGACATAACTTCCTTTAGAGACTTTTTAATTTTTATGAGAGATCAAAATTTCAATATATTGTTTAGTGACAAGCCAAACCTCAAGATTTGCATAGATGTGAAATTTGTAAATTTTAACGTGTACTAAACGTGATGTTTCTTTCTCTCATATGGTCATTTTCATAACCATCTTGGGGATAAGGTTTTAATGGGCCCATCAGCCACCCACCGCCGCCTGCCTCACCTCTTGAGTCATCACTTATTTATTGGTTAGTTAGGGGTCCTAGTTGAACCCCAAAGCATGCCAATTAGAAAAAAAAAATTAATTGAAAAATCTTCATGCATTTTTAGATCAAATCAGCTTTGTCAGCCTTCAAATGGGGGAAAGAAAAAAAAAAAAAAAAAGGGAGTAAAATTTCTGAAAATTCTAAAGAAGGTTGTAGTAACCCTGCAAAATGAGAACATAATGGCATTAGTTGGTTTTGTTAGCTTGGTATTATACTAGAAAATAGTCTCACACACAAAAATAAAAAATAAATAAACTACAATAATAAATAAATAACTTATATTAGTTCATAATCAAAGCCTATAGCATGAGAAAGCTAAAGATTCATGTTTGAAAATTGAAAATTATATCATATAAGTTTTAACCCCCATTCAAACATCTATTGTTCTAACCCCCATTCTCAAACAAAATCTTTCTTTTTGCCTATTAAATTAAAAAAAAAAAAAATTCTTATTTTAAAAAAAAATGAAGAATGAAAGGCATAGCAACCACCTGGGTGAAGAAAAAAAAGGGGGAATCAGTTGTCAGTGGTGTGTAGGAAAAAAAAAAATACAAAATCATGGAAAAGTGTATGATTTTGCATATTAAAATTTCTAATGAATACCACTGATTTGAAATAAGTTTGAAGTGCACACTGAAATGATATTCCCCCCCAAAAAAAGGTGATAAAAACTACAATTTTCCAGGAAAAGAAAAAAGTAACAGGGAAACAAAAAAAAAAAAAAAAAGAAGAGAAAAAAGGATGGAGCATTCCATTACCTAAGTTTCTTCCAAGGATAGCAGCATGAACCGGCGACTTGTTTCTGAGCCTCCCTTCGATGCTGCAATTCCCAGCAGGATTCTCCATAAGAATCTTAACAAGGCCAACATACCCTCCTTCTGCAGCCAGATACACCACAGACTTCCCATCCTTATTAACAGAATATGATATGTTTCGATTCTTATCAATCAGAATCCGAGCCACCTTCTCATGACGATGATGCAACGCCTCGTGCAATGCAGTGTTACCTTCCTCATTCCTCTCTTCCAAAATCTCTTCTCTGAAATCAGAATTGATAAGCAGGCTCACAAGCAATGAATCACCGCCTCTTGCTGCAATATGGAGTGGAGTATCGCCCTTGGCGTTTTTCTCAGCAACAAAGAAAGGCAAGTCCTTGCAAAGAAGCTTGACAATTTCATAGCGTCCAGAGCTTGTTGCAATGTGAAGAACAGTGTTCTTCTGGGGGCCCAATTGGAGACAAGTTGCTGACGAACCATATTGTCTGTCTAATGGGCCCTGCTCCATCGCTTGTATGAATTCAAGGATATCACCTTCTGTAGTAGCTCTGTAGAGTTCTGGGTCCATGGACTCAGCCGTACCATAGCTCCCCTGTTCCTCTTCTTCCTCCTCCAACAAACCTGGAAATTTGGGTACTGACATTTTTGGAATTGGTCACTTCTTTCTGTCTCAGTCTCTCGGTCTCTCTGTAATGTGTTTTTCCAGTAAATTGGAATTGGTCACTTCTTTCTGTCTCAGTCACTCTTTGTAAATTGTTTTACTTGATTACTTGGCTATTTAAATGGAGTTTTGAGTATTTGCATAATCTTATATATGGACTCAATTTGAAGCTGGTCTTTTAGAATCTTTATAAAATACTTTGAACCTGGAATATGATGAATCCAAATGCCGACAAACTGTATGGGAAAATATGAAGTTTCAAAGGAAATTACAAGTAATGTGTGGTGTGTGTGTGTGTCTAAGAAGAACTAACAAATAATAACCATTTGATTAAAAGACGTTTCATTGATCCTTGACTACATTCCTGGCAATAGTATAAAAAAGTTTACTTGAAGAGAATATACATGAATATCCATTACTAAGAATGACTAAGAACCACCTAAAATGTGTGGGTAGCAAGAAATGCATTAGTCAATTGACTCTTCCTTGGCCTTTTTTGTGGAAAATTATTTTGGTTAGATAGTGAACAAAACGTTGTTTGGTGGATCTGTTTAATACTATATGATTGGATACATTAGATTAGATTTATGAGATAATTATGACATCATAGTTTGATTCCAGTTGACTTGACAGTTCAATCAATAATCATTGATTCATTTTTTATTTTTATTTGCTCAAAGGTCCGAATTTATGAAAATTGGGATGCATAATTTTGTACGAGTTCTATTTGTTATGAAGGAACAAATGAAAACGAGAAAGTTAAACAAGAAATCACACAACAACACAAAGATATATATGGTTCACCGATAAACTTATGTCTATGACGAAGAACAACAGAGAGTTTTACTATCAAAAGGAGATAATACAAAGAAGCAGTTGTCATTATCCAAAATCGTCTGTAACAATATAACTCTAATCCACGAAATAACCCACACATATAACAGGTCCGATCTAGGCCCCAATCTAGCCAGGGGACACCCCCAACACTATACACAGTATTTTTCTCTGTAAAGAAAACAGGGTAATTTTTGTAGATAGTCAAATATGAAATTTTCCTCGACTCTTTCCTCTTCTCCTTCTTCTGAACCTATGAAAATTAAGTTCCGTAAGGAAGATTACCAATTGGGTAATATTTAATCTTTAGTTTCTAAGAGTTTATATTAATTAATCGTGGATAGTGAACCAGTTTACGTTGATGCTTACTATTAATACAAAAAAAGTCTAGTCAAGGATATGAACAACCTCCTTAAAAAAACATGGATATGAACAACCAGTAGTCTGAGTCTACCAATACCAAACTAAATTAAACTACACTCAAATGATTAAACTATTTTTAATAGTCTGAGTCTACCAATACCAAACTAAATTAAACTCAATTGATTGAACTACTGTATACAAACCTCAATTTCATTGATCAAAAAACATAACTGGATTCCATTGATATCTCTATGAATGATAATCCATTCAATTCATAATACCCACAAAAAAGAGAAAAGTTAGGGATGATGAAAATTTTTTCATGAAAATGATCATGAAAGATTTATGATTCTTGGATTACATTGATTAGTATATGGTGCTTTATTCTAAGTGTAATCTAAGAGTTACAAAGCTTTCATGATTGTTTTCATGAAAGATTTTTCATGATACCTAACTTTGCTGCAAAAAAAAAAAAGAATTCTTCCTAATATTCCATTCATGCAGAGAGAGAGAGAGATCCAAATTGACAACACAACTATGCAAAGAATATATGAAAAAATAATCCCAATTGCTGTATAGAAGTAAAGAATGGTGCAAGAGGCCATCTATCGGCAACAGACATAACCAAAATTTCATGAGTTATAATTAAAATAAGATCTACAAAAGAAGAAAATTAGTTATAACTAAAAAAGAAATTAACATTACTTAAGAGTACTAGTGTGTATAGTAGAATTTCTCTAATATAACAATAACATTGGTACATCAAAAAAAAAAAAAAAAAAAATTCTGGCCTGCTCACTATGGAACCCTAGGCAGAGGAAAAATTATCCAAATTGTTTCAGAGACACCTTAGAGCATCTCCAATGGAGCTCTCAAAATACTTGTCAAAGCTATAATTTAGTAATAGTGATAAAAAGTGGATCTCCAATAGCTTGCCATTTTACTTGTCAAAGATGACATATGCTATATCTGTTCTCAAATTTGATAAGTAAAATAGTAATTGCCAAACATGCCACATTAACAAATATGAACATATTTGTGACTCCAAATTCAGTTGAAAAAACAGAATTGAAACAATAGAAAACCAAGTAATTTTTTTAATTTAATTTTTCTATTTAATTTTTCAAATTGAATTATATTTAATTTTTTTTTCTAATTTTTCAATTTTTTTTCAAATTTTATATTTGTTCAGTCGGAAATAATATAAATATATAATTTTTTTTACAAATAATTAAAAAAAGGTCATAAAAGACAAAAAATAAATAAAAATAAAATCACAAAAAAATCTATATCTAAACAACACCTACAAATTTGGAGGAAAAGTTGGTTAAAAATTGCCAAAATAGTATGTGACCATTGGAGTACTATTGCTATAATTTGACAAAATAATATTTTTTATTGCCAAATTATAACAATAACAATGATATTTTAACAACAACCATTGAAGATGCTCTTGATTATTTTAGTGTTGAGCCGCTATTGTCTCGACCCTGAATAAATCGGACTAAACGATTACTCTAAATTAGTTTACCGATTTCACCTTTTATTTATTTATTTTATTTTATTTTATTTAATATATACATACACAAGTACAATAAATTAACCGACCATAAAGTGTGGTAACGAATTATGCATCGAAATCTACATTTAGCCATTGTGTTTTTTTGTTTTTATTTTTTTTTATTGAGATAAATTACACCTACACCCTGTAAGGTTTGCACTTGATACAAATTTTGCAAAAATTACAATAATCTCCATGACTAACTGAAAAGATGAAATTACTAATTTACCCACACATACAAAAAAAGACATTGGTGTCCCTTTCATTTTTGTAGTCTATTAATGACATTCTTCAATCCCTAAGGCTCCGTTTGTTTTGTGGTTAAATAGATGAGAGGGGATTAAGACGGAGGTGATGTTATTTAGTATTGTATTTGTTTGTAGAGTTGGAGAGGTGATTAAGATAGAGGAGATAATATAGATGGAGGTTGGAAGGGGGATTGAGATGGAGGAGGTGGAGATGGTATTAGAAAAAAAGTGAGGGGATTAGAATTTTTTTTTTTTATTTTTTTTTTATATATTGAGAATTTTTTTAAAAATATTAATATTTAATTTTTTATATTTTTTTATTTGTTTTATTATTTTATATAAAAATAATTTAACAATTCTTACACTTATAACTATCATCAAAACAAACACAATTTTACTTAATCTTCTCACTATCAATCTCCTCACTATAAATCCCCTCAATTCTACCTCTGAAAACAAATAAGACCTAAAATCACAAACCATTTATTTTTTCTCATTCCTTCATCTTCTCGAACCATCACCACACTTCATCGCCTCAAAAACCGTCAAAACCAACATAATGTTTCAAGACAAAAAAGTTATCGCCGGGCTGTGAGTGTGTGCTCGGTAGCTGGGGATATGATTATGGTCCTGTTTGGTGTACCTGTTAAAACAAATTATAGATTATATCTTAACAGATTATAGATTATGACTTTAATCAGAAACTGTTAATCTGTTTGGTATAATTATTAGATTATACATTTAAGTTGCTAAGTAGTATTTGTTAAATAAGCTGTGAAGTAACTTTTTCAATTAACTTTTATTTTTTATTATTTACTATTTGTCTACATTTCTCACAAAAAATAATAATAATATTTTATAGTCCATTTAGGTCTTTTTCTATTTTAAAAAAAAATAAAAAATAAAAAAATCTAAGAATATAACCGTGAATTAACATGTCTACAGCAGAAACTGATAATCAGAAGTAAAGGGTAAACAACTTGTCAGAATCAACGTTTTTGACTTAAAATAAATTGTTAGAATTAGAAGCTGTTTAAAATAAGTTTAATCAAACAATTCAAAATAACTTTTTAAAAGTCAAAAGCTATAAGTTGGCTAAAAAAATGATACCAAACACCCCCTATGTACAATTTGGGTCTGATTTTGTGTAGGACCGATGGGGATAAGGGGTCACTGCTGTGCGTGAGGCACAGCAGTGACTGTGGTGCATCCATTTGAGGTATATTATAGCCTTATTTTTATGATCCAAACTGTTCATTTTGTAGGGTTTGTTGAGTACTTCATGCCTACAAAGAATCATATTAATCGGATATCAACAACTATATGATCGAATTACATATTATTTATGTTATTTCTCAAAATAAAACTTATTATTTATTTTTTTTTGGTTTCAATCATATAGTTGTTGATATCCGATTAATATGATTTTTGGTAGGCATGAAGTACTCAACAAACCCTATAAAATGAACGGTTTGGATCATAAAAATAAGACCATAATATACCTCAAATGGATGCACCACAGTCACTGCTGTGCCTCACGCACAGCAGTGACCCCTTATCCGACTGATGGAGGGGTGATTCAGGAGGGAGATGATGGTGGACAGACGCAAAGGTGTAATCTTCCCATTGGATAAGAGCGGTGAGTGTGATTTTTTTTTTCTTCCGATGTATCAAAATGAAAGAAAGGAAGTAGTCTTCATCTAGTCGATTAATTGTATTGGAGAGTTCAGCTTAGGGCATTGTGGAATTATTCTAGGTCAACTTTCATAATTTGAATAATTTATTTTTTAGTGTCTAAATTATTTATAAAAATATTCAAGCTAATTGAACATCTACTCAAAATACATATTTGAAAAAAATAAAAATAAACAATAAATTTAATTCTAAAAATAGATCATTTATTATTATTATTATTATTTTTACATAAATAGTTTTCACTAACGCTGTGTTTGATTAGGGGATTTAGAGAGAGATTTAGAAAATGAAAGGAAAAAGGTATGTGAAATTAGGTGAAATATAGGTATGTTTTATTCACATTTCACCTACTTTTTTCATTTCTCTCTCCAAATCACTCTTTAAATCTCCCAACCAAACACAGTATAAATGTATAAAAAATTGAAATCTCATCAATAAAATAGGCGCAAGATATGCCCGTAATCCAATCAGTGGGCTAAGCCTCATCCCTTATGAAAAATAATAAGTAATAGAAAGAAAGTAGTAAAAGAAAAATAATTTGAGATCTCTTGCAACTTTTTCTATTTCTCCACCTTTTCTCGAAGGAAAAATGTGGTCAAATAATTTTTCTCCTTTTAAAATTTTCTAATTAACAGCTAAATGTTAACCTTTAATTCAAAGACCTCATTACCCTTTGATGATGGAAAATACATTATTAGGGTTCGTTTGGTAATTGACTATTTCAATTGATTTTTTAATTTATTACGAAAGAATATATAAAAAAATAAAGAAAGTGATGCTGTGATAACTTCTAAATTTTTTAGTTATTTTAGTCACTCATCAATTCAACTTTATTTTACTTCTCATTTCAGAAGAAAAAAGAAAATATTTGAGGAAGCTTCTAGCCTAGTGCAAATATTTTAAATGTTGTAATTTTGTTTTGTAGGATTTGGGCAGACAAATATTGAAAATTATTAGTTCATTCAATTATTTTCACTAGATATAATTAATTTCGTAAAAACTGGATCAATTTCTTAGCTAGGAAAATAAAATCTCATCAATAAACTAGGCCCAAGATATGCCCGTAATCCAATCAGTGGGCTAAGCCTCATCCCTTATGAAAAATAATAAATAATAGAAAGAAAGTAGTAAAAGAAAAATAATTTGAGACATCTCTTGCAACTTTTTCTATTTCTCCACCTTTTCTCAAAGGAAAAATGTGTTCAAATAATTTTTCTCCTTTAAAAATTTTCTAATTGAACAGCTAAATGTTAACCTTTAATTCAAAGACCTCATTACCCTTTGATGATGGAAACTACATTATTAGGGTTCGTTTGGTAATTGACTATTTCAATTGATTTTTTAATTTATTACGAAAGGATATATAAAAAAATAAAAAAAGTGATGCTGTAATAACTTCTAAATTTTTTAGTTATTTTAGTCACTCATCAATTCAACTTTATTTTACTTCTCATTTCAGAAGAAAAAAGAAAATATTTGAGGAAGCTTCTAGCCTAGTGCAAATATTTTAAATGTTGTAATTTTGTTTTGTAGGATTTGGGCAGACAAATATTGAAAATTATTAGTTCATTCAATTATTTTCACTAGATATAATTAATTTCGTAAAAACTGGATCAATTTCTTAGCTAGGAAAATAAATAATATTCAAAGAAAATCAATTTTGGGAGGTTCACTCAAAAAAATTAATAAATAAACAAAGATGGGTAATAAATTTTCTTCTTCTTCTTCTTCTTCTTCTTCTATCTTCTTCTTCTTTTTTTTGTTTTTTTTGTTTTTTGTTTTTAAGGATAATGCTATATGCAACAATTGGTATACTAATTAATATACTAACAAATGATGTGGCATAATTTTAGAAATTTTGGATATTTGTAGTTTGTATAATAAGTAGAGTCATAGTTTTGAAATAGTAATGTCATAGCATATATTGATATACTAATTAATATACCAATTGATGCGTGTAACACTAATATTTTTTAAGTTAAAAAGGTTCAAAAGCAAAGTAGTTGATTGCATTAAGGGTGCTTGGTTCACGTTAATCCAAACTAGAAAAATTATAGCTCTGCATTTAAGAGCCTTATAGACTAAGCTTGGGCTAAAAAACCAAACGTTTACTGCACATACATAAACCACAGATTTATGCAATCTTAAGTCATTAAATGCAAATCTAGATCGATGCTCATTTATAGTTACAAATCAATGCAGGTTTGAGCTTAATCTTTACCAAATCTCGAAAAAGAAATTTGAAGTTGGGCACTATATATGGCAAACCGAAGCAATAATCCTTGTCCCTTCAAATTTTCGGTGTGATCATCCTTATGAGTGACTAATACCAGGTAACCAAGAAATAAATCAAGTTCTTGAGTTTTCAAGCTTTTGTTCATCTACAATTTATATATATCAACCTAGATATGATGATTCAAAATGTCAACTCTTCCAAATCAACCACTACTCAAGAGACACTATCAGTAGAAAGTCCCACCATTGAAACCCTTCCAAGCCCGCATGAGCCATGTTATGAACCAATGTATGTACACAAAAAAATTATAGCAGCTGATGTTGATTTGACGATTAATTTGGAGAAAGAGAGGCAAATATAAGAGTTTACAAGCCTCTGATGACCTAGAAATTGATAGTCAATCCATTTCCACACAAAACTCCAATGAGTCCTCATACCCTGATAACAAATCAATCCCAAATAATGGAATGGCTAGATCAATGAACCCTGAATTCTATAGGGCGACAATAAGTGGGGACATTGATCGTTTCATTCGAGCATTGGAAGATAGAGAAAATTGCCTTGTGATTGTGACACAAGTAAGCCCCTAAGGAAACACAGTCCTTCACATTACTGCGGGCTTAGGCCATGACCAATTGATTGAGTTCATCCTCCGTAACAATCATGACCTTGTCAAGGTTAAGAACTTCAAAGGCGACCTTGTGTTCCATTTATCTGTGAGTGCTGGACATCTATCCACAATCAACTTGTTTGCTTCTTCTCTAAGACAGAATGAATTCATGGACTTGTTGAAGGAACAAAATAAAGATATGAACACTGCGTCGCACGCTGCGTTGAAAAGCGTCACAAAGAAGTGGCTTTTTTCTTGATCAATGCTGATCCAGAAGTGTCGCTTTTTCTAAATAGTGAAGGGAAGTCACCCCTGTATATGGCCGCGGAAGCTGGTTGGGCAGATCTTGTTAAGCTTATGATGGGAACTAAACTGGTAGCTATTGGAAGTGACTACGTAAATGATAGGATTAATGGCAAGTCACTTGTGCATGCTGCCTTTACTGGAAAGAGTAGAGGTAATTTTTATTTTTGGTTGAGGTGCCGATTTTATGTTCTGGAAAATTTATCCTTTGTCCCTTATTTTAGACGACAGCGTTGTTTCTGTCCAGTCCTTTAATAGGACCTGACGATCCAGTTTGGGCTATGACTCTACTTCGCTGATTTGATCTGTTTTTTTTTTAACATCTTATGTATGAATCATCTACTAAAATTTGACAGTTATAACCAATTTATTTAATCGTAATCTAATAAGTAGACCGGAGACCAGCCAACTCTTTAGACAAACAAAATTATTGAAGTGTGGACACATTATTTGAGACTTTCATAATCATTTAATTACTTTACTTTATTCAATGAAAAATCATGGTAGAAAGTGTTTTCTTTACAATACTTGACTTATAGCATACACATGCATATATTTCTTTGGTTTAATTCTTTTTCTTAAATTTTAGTTGTTTTTCCTTCTGATTCATCTTTTTTCAAAATACCAGAAGTTCTTGATATAGTATTGAGCAAGAACTCAGTTCTCATCCATTCGATTGATGAAGAAGGAAGGAGTCCTTTATCCCATGCAGCATCCATTGGTTATTATAATGGGGTTTCCTATCAAAGGAATCAAAATGGTTTTTTTCCCATTCACATGGCACATATCAAAGGAATCAAAATGGTTTTTTTCCCATTCACATGGCGGCTAGCAGGGGCCATGTCTAGATCATTCAAGAGTTTCTCTGACGCTGCCCAGATTCAAGTGAATTGCTCAACAAACAAGGTCAAAATATCGTTCACGTGGCAGCGAAGAATGGGAAAGACAATGTTATTAAGTATGTGCTCAAAACGCCTGAGCTTGAAAAGTTTATTAATGAAAGAGATGAGAAAGGAAATACGCCATTGCATTTGGCTACAATGCATTGGCGACCTATGATTGTGAACTTGCTTACATGGGACAAGAGAGTTCGGCTAGAGTTAGTGAATGATGCAGGTTTAACCGCCTTAGATGTTGCTGAGAAATACATTGGAACTGCACCACCATTCCGAAAGGTATGTCTTAATTTTTTATTTTTTTCAAAAAAAAAAGAAGATCCATAAATAAATGCTATCTAATGGGTGCCATTTTATATATGTTATGTATTGTTGAATGAGTTCTATCTAGGAAATTCATTCAGTATAAAATATGTGTATGTGATATTTATATTTGGATTTTGGCTACCCCAAATAGGAGGAACAAATGTGTTGTGTTGAGTTAGTTGAATTGAAGGTAGATGGAATCGCCTATTCAAACAAGTATATTGATAGTCAATTTGATTAGAGTATGATCATTAAATAACACACAATTTCCTGATAAATTTCTCAAGTTTTTTTTTTTTTTTGATGGTTGAGAACTCAGTCTAGGTAAGATTTTGGACCAACCCTAGGAGTGTAAACTCGGGTTCAAGGCCAACCCCTAAGCCTATGGACCCCCCAAAGGTTGTGAACAGGCAAATGAGAGAGGAGTTGAACTTTAGTCCAATTAATAATATATATATACACATTAAAGATTGAACAGAAATCAAAGGCAAAATTATTCATTCAATAGAGAATGAACTATTCAAATTGGCCGTTAACTCGTCAATCACTTTGAGGAGAGTGAATATACTATTTGCCGTTGATTTCATTCTAATTTCTAAAGCAACTTTGTTAATTGAACTAAATTAACACAATATGAAAAAATTAATTGATAAAATTAGAACTATAATAACTAAATTGACCAAACACTTGGATTGAAATTTAAAATTGTCTTGTACCATGCAGCGGTTAACTTGGATGGCCTTGAAATCAGCTGGTGCGCCAAGATCCAAGCGTCAAAAACCAAACAGGCAGTTCAAGGAAATGGGGGAAAACTATAAGGAAAGAATCAACACTCTCATGCTAGTACTAACAATAATTGCCACTGTAACCGTCACAGCCGGTTTCACAGTCCCTGGCGGCTACAAAAGCTCCGCCCCAGATGAAGGCACGACAACTCTGCTAAACAGCAACTACTTCAAAGCATTTTGATCTGTGACACCATAGCCATGTACAGCTCTGTCATAGCCATAGTAACTCTCATTTGGGCACACTTGGGTGACCTCAATTTAGTCCTCATTGCACTTAGGCTTGCAATACCACTATTGGGGTTATCTCTGGCCATGATGTCTTTGGCATTCATGGCTGGTGTGTGTCTAGTTGTGAGCAATCTTGCTTGGCTTGATGATGTTATTCAAATCTTGGGTATGATTTTTCTTTCCACTATCATGGCACTCTTTGTTCCTCTTTATTTCCCAGATACTTCTCGTTCGAGGACCTTACAATTCGTCTCTTACTATGTTCTGAGTTGGGTGATGTTTGCTTCTGGAAGTTATGACGACGATGATGACCAAGAAGAGTAGTGGCTAGGGGATTTTGCTTATATGCTGCACATTTTAGTTGATTTTGTGCTATTTGAAGAAAACCATAGTAGAATCATCCATTTTCCATTTGATAAGGCCTATATAATGTTAATATTGCCATTCAAATAACTCTTAATTAAGTTGTATTTTCTTATTATATTTTGTTTTTTTTATTTTTTGAGATTTTTTTTTATATATTTTTTTTAAAGTGCGATGCATAGTGTGGGGGGTCCAAATCTGTCCCACACTAGTCTGCTAGGAACTCTTGACCTACCTTTAAAAGTGTGCATACCTACAAACTTGCAAGAACCGTGTGTGTCTCGTGATACAAAGCGGACAATATCTTGGTACTTACTACGATAGTGGGGTGGTCCACATAAATGGCACCGTCTGTGGGAAACTTAGCTTCACCATGTGGACCCACACGCTTGGGGTAATAATGTTGAGGGATCCGAATCCATCTCACATCAGTTTGCTAGGAACTCTTGACCCACCTTATAAAGTGTGCCATAACCACAGGAGACTTGGAAAATCTAGCTCCACCACGTGAACCCACATGCTTGGGGGAATAATGTTGGGGGATCCGAATCCATCCCACATCAGTCCGCTTCCCACATGGCTTGGGGGACTAATGTTGGGGGGTTCGAATCCATCCCACATTAGTCCACTAGGAATTTTTGACCCATCTTATAAAGTATGTCATACCCACAGGAGACTTTTTCTAGTAAAGGAAAAACAAAATTGTGCGTGTCCTTGTAATACAAAGCGGATAATATCTTCGTGCATGGTCTACACACAGTTTAGGAAAATTGAAGATTAATTTTTTGTATTTAAATTTTGCTAATCCAAGCTAGGCCCAAATTTTTTGAGTTAAATGCAGGCTCGAGATTGGTTAAACAAGTTTGGATAAAGGTTGGGAAAATTCTATTTTTAAAAACCTACTTACCTCAATGCATACACTTAATGAAACTTTATTTTAATAACAATTATATCTTAAAATAAAATGACAATAATAGACATAGCTTACCCACCTCATCTATTCTCTCCTCTTTCTTTCTACCACCAATAACAACAAACGAACCAATAAACCCTTTTGTTTTCTTCCCCCCTCTCTCTCAAATCAATTCAATTTATTTCGGTTGCGGATTCAGTAGAGAATTCACTACTACCTAAAACAAAACTTCACCCCCATCAACCTAGTGGGAAAATGTAAAGAAAAATAAAGAAAAACAATGAAATTAAAAATTTCGACTAAAAGCTAAAAAATCTCCACTCAACAATCCGCATATAGCTATTTCACAGAGCTATTGTAAGTAATTGATCCTCTAAGAGACAAAATCAAAGGGGAAAAAAAAACACATTTCTTTTCTTTTCCCTCAGTTTCCTAGCAACCAAACATAGAAAAACGAATGTGAAACCCCAAGGAAATCGTTTTAAGGATTGATCAGTGATAAATGCAATAATTCACCATTTCAAAAGTTCATTATCAACTGGTAGAAATTACGATCGAATAATTTTCAAGCCAATTTGTTTCGTTGTCTTTGTCAGCAGCGGCGGTGAGCAAACACGCTTGGTCCTTAATAAGAACCTCATCACATTCAATTGCTTCTTCCTCCGATGCTCCGATACGTATGCATAAGCCCCTGTTGTTACGATTATACAAAAGTATTCATATATTTAGATATACATAACTATATAACATATGTATCACAAACAACACTTGAAATGTTTATATAAATTCGAATTTTGTAACAAATGAATCAGTCAATAAATGAATGATGCTGAAAGAGTAGATTCGAGTAGACAGAGAGAGGAGATAGGAGATAGAAGAGAGAGAGAGAGAGAGAGAGCATACTCATAGATGTCTGTGTGAGTGCGTTTGAGAGGAAAGTATGCGTACAATATTTGAGTTTAAGGGATATAATTGGAATATGTGTTTGTGGAACAAAATAAATAATAATTAATCAAATTCATAAGTGTGTGTATTGAGATAAGTAAGTGTTTGGAAATAGAATTTTTCGGTTAGGCTTACGCTCAGACAAATTCTTTAACACTTCAAATTAAGCTCAAATTGATCTTTAATTTACGGTCCTAGTTTTTTTGGTCTATTGTTGTAAATTTTCTATAATACAAAACTATTGTAATTTTGGGCACCATATCTAAACACCATCTAAACATCACTTGCAACAGTAAGATTCCAGTAACCGGGAGAAAAAAAAAAAATCAAAATTATAGTAATACCATATCTAAAAGTCACTTGCAACAGTAAGATTTCAGTAAGAGGGGATAAAAAAACAATCATTGATTAGTAATGGATAAAATTGGATACAAAAATCAATATGGATTTCCTAAAACATTAAGTGATTTTTCACAATTGTATTATTTATTACTGAATATTAGTTTATTTGTTTTTTATTTATTTAAATGAAGTGGTTTTCACAATATTATTTATTACTAAAATTAATCTTACTTATCACATATCATTACTACTAAAATCAATGGTATTTATTTCAAAAAATGCCCAAAAATGACATCCTAAAAATTGGTATTATTTCACGCACATTTGATTCTAATTTTTTGAATTCAATTTTTTAAAAATTATTTTTTTTAATATTTTTTTATTTGCAGTGAATTTTTTAAAATATTTTAAGTAATTTTTTTACTTTTTAAATGTATCTAATCTAGATGTACCTAAAAAGTAAAATATTTGTAATAAATCAATAAATACACAAGAATACGAAAATGTACTGAATTTTTATATATATATTTTTTGTATATTTGGTATTTAATGATTTTTTTAAAAAAATTCATTAATATTATACTTTTTAATTATATTTATATTATGTGTATCTAAAAAGTAAAAAAATTGTTAAATTATTAAAAAAATTTGTTAAAAAAAAAATGAAAGATAAAAAACTCAATTTAAAAAAAAATGAATTTAGAAAATTAGAACTAAATAAAATGAATAATGTTAGTTATCAATTTTTTTTTTTTAAACTAAGTGCCCGAATTTCTATTTAAAAATAAGGGAAACAACATGTATGTGGGAGAAGAAAAAAAAATTATCAATACACGACGGTGCAATGTGTCACTACAACATATAAGACTTTTGGCGACCAACTATTTTGGTCCCTAAATACTTTTTCTGACAAAACTAATTTCGTCACCAAAAAGGTCGCTAAAAATCCGTCCAGGAAAGTCAAAATTGGCTTTTTAGCGATGAATTTTTGAAAGTGTCCCCAAAAATTACAATTAGCCATGAATTTTCTATCGCCACAAAATGTTTGATTTTGCAAAACTAAAATATTTCGTCGCTATTACTTTGTCACGAAATGTCTCTATTTGGTCACAAAAAGCAAAATAGTGACCTTTTTAACAACAATTATATTTGGTCGCTAAAGGTTGGAAATAACATTTTGAAAGTATTCAATTTCATAGCTACAAATTGACATCCACAGCCAAATCTATTCCTGTATATAGAAAAAAACAAGATTAAACCTTGCACACAAGATCAAATCTATTCCTGTATATACAAAAAACAAATTACAAAAATCAAAACTCTAAGTATCCAAATTCACTTCAACATAGTTCATTGTATGAGTTAAATCCCCAAACAAGATCAAAATAGTTCAACATTGTATGAGTTAGAACTCTATGACGACTTCAACTTTGTCTTTCTCTCGCACCACCTCTTCACAAGTTCAGTTACAAGAGCAGCATGCCCCAAACAATTAGTTGTTCCACGACTACAAAAGCTTATCACCGTCTATAGTCATAGAGAAAGGATGAAAATCCTACACACATGATCATCATCAGAAGTGTAAACAAAGTTTAAAAATGTAAAAAAGATGTAGATGAAATCCAAAAATTCATAAACCTTGAAGAACTTAACTAAGGCAAATTGAAGCAAATAAGAGCTCAGATTTTTGGGGCAAATTGCATTTTTTTTTCTTTCCAAAATTTTTGGCAACTTGGCATCGATCTTGAAGAAGAACCAATAACCTTAATTGAAATCTGATTGTATACTGGTGCATAGATGTATGTACATATGATATGACCATAGGATTCAGGATATTCATTAAATTAAACAAGATAAGATTAACAATCTTAATAATCATTTACAATATTAAACTATTGATGGCATTGAGAACTCCCAGGACTCTTTCTCACTCACAAAACAATTAGCAAAAACCAAACAAATAGACCCAAAATATATTCTGAAAAAAGCATCATCAATCCAGAACAGATAGATTATCAGTACCTACCTATTACCTACCTCAGATTTAAAATAAAAAAATAAAAAAATAAAAAAAAATAAAAAGAGAGAGAGAGATCAGAGAAGTAAAGATGGGTCACTGCACTCAAAAATGAAACAAATTAGATGGTGGGAATTGCAACGCCAATAGCACATGCACAACTTTCTCTCTCCACCAAAAAACATATACGCGCACACACAAAGAGACTAAAACTGCAAGTCCAAATTTGATGTACCATCATAAATTTTCATACAATTATAAATAAAATTTTTATCTACAAGTTTAGACATTTTATCATATGCATATAATTTGAAAATTTCAAATATATAAAAAAAAATGAGAGGGTTGAGAGGGTTTTCTTACTATGTTAGGT